AAATTAGAAATAACAAAATCACATAACACAAGTCGGCCCGCATCACAGCTAATCACTTGTTCAACGGTCCCACTACACTTTTTTAGAAATAAAAGACAACCTCCGGACGTTCCCTTAGCGTGGCTGACGCACACGTCGTACCTTGCTTCAAAAAGTCGCACCAGATTCTCTGTCTGGGCCCCGCTCTCCATTTTCGTTTCTTGAACCACGACCACGTCCAGGTCTTTCTCTATAAATAAGCGATTTACCTGGTACTGACGACGTTTGGCACATAAGCCTCGCACGTTTAACGTACCCACACGTAATGATCGCTCAAGGTTCATCAACGATTGAATGAGAAACTAGACACAAAAAAAAAGAAAAAAAAAAAAACCCGGTAGGCTAGCAGAAAAGAAATACTTTGGACCGTACGCGCAGTAGAATGCAAGCGCAAACAAAAAAAAAAATCGTATATTTGCAATGCTGTAGTTGCCGAGACCACTCACAAAGAGTCTTTCCTCCGGCGATCATCCGGCGGGATACGCGGCTTCACCGCGACCCGACCTCCGAGCGGTTCGAGCGTAGGCCACGCTTGGTTGGCCTCCTGGCCAGTGTCGTCAGGTGTTGCCGCTGGCTCCCTCGGTCGCTCTACCGTTTGGCTGGCGTCCATTTTGGAGCACTGTTCGTCTGCCGCTCCCATGTCGCCGCTCCTACCCCCGGGATTGCTGTTCACCGTTGTAGGTTGTCCGCTGGGGACAGCGTTTGCTCCTCGGAGAGACAGTGCTTGGCTCTGTCTTGGCGCGCGTCTTGACCTCGTGTCGTCCCCTCAGAGTCTCGCGCTTGTGACGCTGCGTCCTGGTTGCCGTCGTCCTTGGATGTGGGTTCCCCACTCTGTTCCATCGGCAGCACGTCGCTTGGAGGCGACCCTCCTACGGCTTCCTCCGCCTCGATACCGTCCATCAGGTAGTCGGAGTTGTCCTCGACCTTACGGTCTCGGGCCATCGAGGCGTACGTTTCGACGCAATTTTCTGCTTCATGACCGTAGCGGTGGCAGTCGGAGCAGCGGGGAATGCGGCAGTCCCGGCGAATGTGGCCCGTACGACGACAGCGAAGGCAGAGCGGAGCGCGTCCGGGCATCACGAAGAGGACCTTACACCCTTCCAGGCGCATCTCGTGGGGGAGGCTGTCCACGGTGTAGCCTTTTTTGAGGGTCATGCGTACACTCCGGGTGTTAGACTCAACAGCCTCAAACCCCTTCTCCCGGAAGAAGTCCCTGGTTATCTCAGATACCTTGCCGTAGCGCTCCAACTCCTTTTTCACCTGGCCGTTGGGCACGTCGTACGGTACCCAGTGGAGCTTTAGCTTCACCGCAGTGTTCACCGGGTCGATGACGAGGCAACGCCCCTTCCCCCTTCCCTTCCCCCCCCCCCCTCCTTGATGTTCAGCTCCTTCGCGTCCACCAACCTTTGCTTCGCCGCTAGCGAGTGCAGCCTCAGCATCCAAACGTGGTTCATCTGATGTGAACCGGCTGAGGCCAGGTCCTTCAGCACTTGCAGCCGCTGCAGCTCGTCACAAAAGTCTTGCACGCGATACGGCCTTCCTTTCACATCACAGTGTAAAAATACAGCGTTCGTCACAACATAACCAGTGGGAAGTTACGGCAGGATAATCTTGTAATCTTCAGCGTTATCAGCGACAGACGTACCACGGTCTGACGCGACCCTTTTTACCGCTCCGTCGGAGCTCATGACACACACGTCCGTACTCGACAGAGGCCGGAAGTGGAAATCACCACACCAACCCGACCACTACACAAGGTATATGTATAGATGGTAGCGAAGCTTCCATAGAAGCCCATACGCGCAAAAAATGGTGGCTCATGGGGCGCAGCGCCATCTGTTAGTTGCGCGGCATTCTCATTAGTCATGCTCGCCCGTGACGTACAGGAAGTGACGCTTTATTAAAAAGGAACAAAGAAACAACAGGTCTGTTCGATTCGCCTGAACTGGCTGAACTAGTTCAGCAGTGCAGGAACTGGTGCATTCGATTCAACCGGAAGTTGCACGGCCGCTGCACTGGCGCGTTCGATTCATCCCAGTTCTGAACGAGTTCAGACCCAGTTCCTCAGAACCTTGCACCGGCTCCGGAGTCAGTTCGGCGTCCGTGCAGAAGCAGACGACAAGAGCAGACGGCGATAGCAGACGACACTCCTCGTCCGTCTCTGCTCGCGGTGCCATTTTTCGCAGCTCTTGCTGAAATGTCTGCGATTTTTAACAATAACGCCGATACGGACGTTGCATTTTCTCTCATTTATGATAAGAACGTACCCACGGTGGACGCGGAATTGAGATCCTAACCAAGAGTAGGAATTCGATTGATTATGATATTCTGAAAGCATTTTAGGCACCTGCTCGTGTAGGTTTGGTGCTTTGTGGTAAGTGTTGAAATACTGGCTCACGTAAATTGTTTCTTTTTGATGCTATTTGGGGATCCACAGTGTTGATATTCGTCCTTACCAACACGGGAAAGGAATTGCACTCTTGATAGTCCCCGCCTTCAGGTGCTCTTGGATGCATATACTGACGATTCCGCTACATTGCAGAGGTCTGGTGTTTAGTACATTGGCTCTCGCATGCCCCGTAGCTGAGTATAATACTACATGCTCTGTCCGCTGGTATCTGGACGCCCACTAACGAGCCTGGGAAAAGCGGCGCCGAGAATCGGCATTGGCTTGGTAGTTCCACGCAGTTCTTTCTTGAGAATCAGCATAAACGCTTCAGCTTGACGCCAAAGTTACGTTCGATAACTGTCTTGGCCAGAACGCTATCGTCAGGCCTTCGTCTTCGAGGTGACCGCTATCGACCGCGCGCTGCCGCCAGTGACTCCCGACGCAAAATCATCGTGATGCCGCGAACCTATCGTCGAAATGCGAAACTCGAGAGACTTGGAATGAGTCTACTATCGCGAAACGAATATGAAGGACACGAGCGCTTCTGGAAACGAGAGGAACTGAACGGCCGTTAAAAATGCAGACAGAAACACACTTCGTGCAGGAAACGTTTTTAGTACATTCGAAAAAAAATATTTACAGAAACGATTCCGTTATTATACCGTAAAACTAAAAAAAACACGAACGGACTCATCAAACCGCGACTAAATAAATATAGCATACAACTTGGCGTTTAGAAACAAGAGCCAACCGATGCAGACGACACTCCGCGCTTCCGCTCGGAAAGCCGATCACAGCGCCAGTCCTAGCGCGGCGGCTGCACTGGTTCTGTGCCGCCGCTGCACGACTCCTGTACTCCTCTGAACTCGGACAGAACTAGTTCAGAACTTTCTGGCCGAATTGAACAGACCTACGATATGACGCATTTTCCTCAAGATTGTGACGTCACGATTGTTTTCGGCGCGAAATTTAAATGATTTTCGCCGGTGGCGCGAAATTTAAAGTTTTTCAGATGTTCCACATGCCTGCTACCGTCCTTCAAACCTTGCTTCACGCATAATAGCCTTGTTTGTATCAGTCACTCCCATGTAATCCCTCTTCCAAAAGAACCAGTTTTTTATCAGTTCTGGGAACCACCAATAAGTTACTATCTTCAACTAAGCAGTGTGTTACAGCACGCCTATGAAGGCGTACTTATCATTGTAATACCGGCTTGTTTGCCAAGAAAGACAAAAAGGCACAAGCTTGGTTTACACAGTTTATTATATACAAACTTACAACACCACCACTGAACACTTGAAGATAGATATGGCATTAAAAACGAAGGGAAATAAGGTCTGGACAACTCTATGCACGCGCTTAATACTCTCAACGGGAGGCACGTTTACGCATTTCTCTTGTACTGTTCACGTTGAGAGCTCGTAATTAGATTTAACTATATCAATCACAGGTGGAGGTGCGGGGCTATGCATGTCTTTTGCATTGGAATGTCCGCATGAATTAATACTTCAAGAGATTGAAAATTGAGACGTTTCGTTATAGCACATGCGCTCGTCACACACATATTGTGCTCCACAGCTTGGGTATTTATGTGAGGATTAGTACGCAGGAAACTGCCACAAAATGACAGGAAAGAAAGCATTAGAAAAAATATAATAATTAGCTTTGTGGCAAATTGTTAGCACCATACTGACTCACTGAGTTACGTTTCATCGCAGTTTGATATACTTTTGTATACCTCACACAACCAAACATTAATCCAGGTTTATGTCTCAAGTCGTCACACTGCACAAGAAAACATCGAGGTCAACGCTTCTTCTCACACACTCCTCAATAATGCACAGGGTGTGTAGGGTGTCTACCAACCTGGAAAACTTAAAATATTTAAGTAAGGCGGATTATATTTAAAGAACAGGGTAATATAAAGGGAACCGTAAAAAAAGTTCCTAATCAGTAAAAATGATAAGCGAAAGTGGAACGGCAGCGTGCAACCAAGCCCGATGATTGCACAAGGATTTCACGGTGGTGCCGCTGCACTGAATAACGTTGCCCGACACGTCATTAGGCAGCGCAGGCCACTAGGCACTCCCTGAACCGAAGTAACGGTCAACATTTTATCGAAATAGAGAGGAAAACCTTGGGAAAATTGGGAAATTTGGAATAAGTGATTTGGTAGACATCCTGTCCCATCATTCAGTGAGCAACGTCATCTAGCACTATACAGCGAGGGTCGAATGAATCTAACATACTTTACTTAGAACGAAAAAATTAGTTTTGCATGCTGTGACACTGAAATTTTGATATTGATTCATTGAAAATTCAAGTTCATCTAGCTGAACCTATACGTTGATTGCACTGTTTGAGCATGCGAAACAAACTTTTACACTTTATTTAAAGTATGATAGATTCATTTAGTCATCGCAGTAGACAGTTTCGGCAAAGCGTGTGATAATTTAAAGGTATGTACTCGCAATATCCGGTATGCCAGCGTGATCGTTGAATGCAACACGTAAGACAAACTAAAGGGACTTCCTGTGGGCATAACGCAAGTGATGTCTCATCTGCACAGTCTCTAGACTCGTTGCTGGGTTTTGCGTCTCACAGCTGCATCAAAGAGCTCAGTATTTTTTTTACGGACGAACCAATGAAGCCTCACCCTTGTAAACAAAGCAAATAAATCACCATAGACATCCTCACTGCAGAGTGTCAGCAGCTTTTCGACCTTCTCATGTAGAGTGATGCACAACGCCTTCCCAACGCCTTCTTTCAAAACAAGACTGTCAATTGACGCCACAAAAACCTTCTCACAAGCTTGAACGGAAGAAACAAAGCAAGGTGAGGGGACCGAGAGGCTTCCAAAGTCTCCTTCAGCCGTTCCTTTCACACTCAAATACAAAAACACTTGGCTGTCATCAGAAAAAGTGGCATTCTTGATTTGCAATTCACATTGCTGAGTCACGTTATGACATGTGTGATATTTGATAAACCTTGTTACAAGCCATCCAGCAAAGTAAACCATGTTGTTAAGTGATAATAAAATGGGATAACTACAGGATGTGAGGTCAGCTGCACATTGTGGAAGTGAGCTTCCTAGACTAAGTGAAGCTGAGGGAGCTGAGAAACCAACCGGAAGAGCCGCTAAAAGAGTTGCCATGTCCTCTTCGCAGTTGCTCTTGTCAGACAGTTTAAACAAGTTGCTAACTAGGAGATGTCTAAAGGCTGCCTGAAACTGCCGGCAAGAGGAATTGGCGTTCGCACCAGACTTTGACCTTATTACGGAGAATGTGTTTTCGAGTGCATCTTGGTTGAGATGGCGAGTCAGGAGGTATCTGAAACCATACTCAGATGTCAGGTGCTCACAAATCAGCATAATAGACCGAATGGTCAAGGAGAAACCGCGAATGCAAGCAGGCTGCCGTGGGCACCCAAGAACGGTAAGGCTTTCGAACATATGAAGGCATTCTTTCAGAAACTCCTTGTGAACAGAGCCTTCGTGCATCGCAGACACATATGCACTCTTCCCGCGTTTCTGTGAGCTGTTCAAGCTATCAAAAAGACGATCCATTTTTTCAATAAACCGGGCCGTGTGGATAGCTTCAACTGGCAGTTGCTGGAAAGTTACCATGGCAAACATTGCAGCAGCACAGTGATTACTGAATATTTGCGCTGCTAGTTTCACTGACATTTTGGAGGCAAAAGTCAAATTAAAATGCTTCTCACTGAGCCTTGGCATGGATCGGATTTCAAGCTGTTTGTCTTTTTCGTAAGCTTCCCTGAGGAAAGAGCTTCTCAACGTGTGGTCCCCAACTTGAAAATTGTACTTGAAGAGCATATTTCGTAAGCACTTCAGCAGATGTGGTACATCAAATAGAAAAAAAAAGTGGCTTCTCATTTACAGTTACGTAGGGCTTCCCAGGGGTAACAAGGCCATTAAAAAGAGCAACATTTTGATTGCCTTGGTCACATACGACAGCTACTGGCTCCAGGCCGGCTTTCACAAGCAAATTGTGGCACTGGAAAATAAGGTCACGCAAAATGTTGGCAGGTGTTCCCCCATGAGCAAAAAAATAGCCAAGTGGCTGCTTCCATGGCGTACGAATGCCTTTAGCCATAAACACAAGAGCTTTGTTTGCAAGGTTATGGCCTCTTCCAGCGTTACTTTCTTCGAGCCCTTCAAACCTGTCCACAGAGGGGTTGTACGAGAGCTCTTTCGCGACGTGCATCTCGTCAAAGGCAATAATGCATGGCTTGTCTTCTGGTGAAAAAGAAGCTGCACGTCTTTTGACTAGTTCGAAAACTTCTGGGTAAAAACCAACCCTCAGGGGAACACGCTGAAGCCAAAGCTGTAGCGACCTAACGGATGGGAGCCTCAACAATTGCCTACAGTACCGGTAACCCTTAGGGCTGTGAAAGTACAAGCCCAAGGCAAAGGCTTTGTTCTGGCTGCACCACCGCCTACCGAACCTGCTCGCATTGGTCATCTTCAGCTGAGCTTCCACAAGGGCAGCAACGGCTGGAGAGACGAGGCTACGTACACTTTCAACTATCTCAGTGACAGTCAGCATATGACGCCGTCGCTGCAGTCGTTGCTGGAGTCTCTTGTTATGTTTCCGAAGCTGTCGAAGTCTGGCCCTCAACACGTCCATCTTCCCCTTGCCCTCGGTGCGGGTGTCACAGGACCCTGCAAGGGGAAAGCAAAAGCAATTATGAAACATTTCGAGAAATAATGAAATAAACAATGTGCCTCCACTGTAGAAAATGTGGAAGTACAAGTAAACTTTGTGCATCATGACGGACACCTACGTTGGTGAGGAACCGCAGAAGTCGAAGACACCGACGCATCATAATCGGTAGGAGAAGGTTCAGGTGCCCACACATCGTTTCCTCCAGACGGCGGGCCATGTCCATCCATCGCGCCTTGCATCGTGTGTGTGTGATCCACTACAATAAGCAAAACAAAGGAAACAAAGTGACAGAGGGGTTGCAAAAAGCTGAACCAGCTATGACTGGTCAAGTACTACGCAACAAAGTAATCTTCAAAGACTGTCCTAAACAACGCACACTATAAAAAGAGCCGTGAGACTGCTCCCCACATCTGCAAAGCAATGACGAGGCAATTAAAAAATCTGTCAAAAACATCAGTCATTGTATTGTTTCAGGAAATTCCTGCGGCATGTGACAAGCTGCAGCCCGTAGCAACCTAAGAACGAAGGGCGAGGGTAGGACGGGCCGGGGAGGAAGAAGCAGACGGAACGCTGGAGAAGAGAGAGGAGAACCTCCTTCTCTCTTTAGCGTTCCGTCTGCTTCCTCCTCCCCGGCCCGTCTTACCCTCGCCCTTCGTTCTCAGGTTGTAGCGGACTATAGATTAAAAACATGTTCATACATGTTTTACATGTTTCCCAAAGATGGCTACTACACGACAGTCCGAAATATATAAGAAACAAGGCCTGCAACACTTCTCCGCCAATATGCAATTGCTTTTACCTTCTTCTGTAGTGTGGTGCGTGTGACACCGTGATGATGTGGGCCCATCGGTGCTACTGCTGCTGGCCAGCGTGGGCTCGCCCTCGCTAGTCAATTGGCCAGGGCTGCTGCTCTGGACGGCATCTCCGGCACCTATGCAAAGTTAAGCACACACGTAATGTACACTAAAAAAGTTCCCTGTATCTGCATGTAAAATACTTTCTGAATAAGCTCATCTTTTCAAAGTTGGTCAAAAGACCAACTTTTCAGAGAGCTGCGTGTAGTGAAGATATTTGATCACTATGCTTTCAAACTTAGCATAAAGTATAAACAGGAATGTCGCGAGTTAAACAGTTTTTTATTGTCATTATCATCACTTCGAAAAAAAGCTGCAACATATTCCACCCGTCACTCCGATGTTTGGGCAGTAGAAACGTCACGAACAGATATCGCCTCCAAATTATTAAAATAAGCTTGCCAACATTACTGAACACTCTTATGGGCTCTAATTTTGATGTCGAATCTTCCAATATGTGTGCGCTTAAGGATTATTTTCTTTATAATTAAACAATCCTTACTGCTGTTGATTAGCTAGAAGATTTTTGCTTTTGTTCTTGTTTCGTTAATTTTTTTGCTGTTAAGTATTTTGCATTATATAAATTCTTGTGTATGACTTCCCCAGTGCTGTGTACCTGTGGGGGGCTGAGGACCAGTCAAGCTGCTTGCACAGCTTTTTTCCTCAGCTCCCACCATACTTGTATGGTAAAATAAAGTCATTATTATTCTCAGTAATAATGAAAACAATATTTCGTGCTCACCCTCAGTGGTCAAATATGCTGGTATTGCATCAGCCTTCCTCGGTAAAGAAATGCAGAGGGTTTGAAGTGCCTGGAGCATACCGCCCGTTCCCGCAGCTGCTGTGGTGTCTTGTTCTGCAGGCTTCCGTTCCGGCAGAACTGAACCCAGACCCTCCGCCTGAATGTGAAGCAGTGTGTTACTTTACATACCCTTGGCTAAAGTGGACATTTAAGAAAGAAAATATTACACGATAATGTTAGCGATAAACTAGTCACATCATTGTACTTGGTCTCCCGTCTGGGTCCAGCGAACGCCATGAGCGAGGAGCACACCTCTGTGCCCGTGAGGTTTTGAAATAATATGAAAGTTCGTTAAAACTGAAATGTTCAGTCATTGTTTCTTATTAGGTTTTTGGGGTCACGCAGCCGTTCAGCAGAGGTCAAGCAAAGCCGCCACTAATATCTAAGATTAGGTTCGTCTCGCGAAGCTTGGAACGGAGACTGGGCCCAAAAAAGCTCGATCAACGGGTGGTTATTATTAAATGAGCATGCATGAGGGCCCATAAAAGAGGTCAAGAGCTTACCAGACATCACCGGACAACGGACATCAGGACATCACACATAGTTGCAGCGGACACAGCTGCTACAAGCTTCACCTTGCAGCGTCTACAGGAAAACGATGGAGTGTGATGCCAGCGGTGCAGTCATCACTTGGGCATCGCGCTACCGCGCAGCGCCTCTTTACATGGGGCGGGCGCATCGTCCCGACGACAGAGCCTTGAACGCGCCCGTCCGGCGCTCGACGACAAAAGCAACAGAACGGCGCAATAGAATTCAACTAGTCCAGACCGTTCGTTGGAAAACGAACGGTCTGAAAACGACCACGAAGTCGTTTTAAACTATTGCAAAAAGTGAAAGTTCGACGGGAGCTACAGAAACGTAGGCACACTGGCGAACGCAAACAATGCAAACACGAGGCGTATCAGGACTGCGAACTTCTGCCGACGGCGAAAAATAGCGACGTTGTAGATGTCGCAACAAGTATGCACAACATAATACATATTAAACATAACCTGAAAAATTCACCACTCTAAACATGTTTAAACTAATTTATTATTAATAAATAATACTTTGATTTAAAGTCAACTATATAAGACACTGAAAGTGTGTCTTTAATATTTTATCAGCTTAGTGTTTGGCCGCGCGCAAAACATAGTCGCGCTGCGGTAGCGCGGCCTCCAGGGTGATGACGCTAACGATTGGTTTTGGGCCGCTTTTTTGCTCCACTTTCGCGACCTATATGAATTGACCTTGCACTACACCCCTACTCTGCGTTTCCGTCTTTTATACTGGTCGTTTTGAACGTACGGAATTTTTAGGTGACTGAATAAGCAGTACAATATATTCCCAGAATGTTGATTTTTTTCAGCAGTGCCATACCTCTGAGAGTATTTTGAATGGCTCAAGGGATGAATCTCTTATTAAAAAGCAAACGCTCGATCAAGCAAACGCTCGATCATGCCGTAATTATTTCAAAGCCAATAAATCATGCCCCTCCATTGCGTTTCGAAGCCATGAGTTTGTTTCCCCGCACGGCACGTCGTAGCCTGTATTCCTATTGTAGTTTGTTTTTCTATTCGTGCTGTTCGCGCAAAGCTGCGATTGCCGTCTTGAATTAATTTCTGTAGAGCGGATATTCACTCAGCTGGAAGTGATGCTTCACGGGCTGAGAAATCGCTTTTCGATCTACTTGAATGCAGCCAAAGTCGCGACTTGCGGCAGGTGTTAAGTGTACGGAGCTACGCAGTTGCGAGCTTGAAAACCTCTAGCGCTCATCCCAGCGCGCCACTTGGAGGGCAGTTTCTCCAGGAACCGTAGTATATTTAAACAGCAAAACAAAAGGTAGCTTTTTTTTCGATTTTACCTAATATTGTTTTTAATGCTAAAATTTCATACTGTAAATATACGTACTTTCCGTCACAATTTTGTACTGTTGCCCTTTCCTCAGAGCCCAATCGTTCTCGGGAACGAGAAAACCAACAGTGACATTGACCACTGAACGATAGGAGCCTACTGTTCAGACAGCGCTCCAACATGACTATCCGCACGTCGATCGATTGCACCTAATCCCTCAAGTGGAATCAAACTTTTTAATGTAAAGCGGAATGTCAACCTGTGACACCCCGCCCCCTCCGATCACGGCCCGACCAGCGGCATCAATGCCCGAAAGTTTACGATCTCATTTTGTTCTTACACCACTGAAACGCGAACATACGGTCACATCGGCGATAATTTCAGTCCTCTGTTCACAACCCACAAAACTGCCATCATGATGTTGCTGCTATGTTGCTGCCACGCACAAATACAGAACTACGTTAAACGCCGTTTGTACTCGGCATCAGAAGACAGAACCGAACTCAGCACGGAAGGCACCCAGGCAGCCGGCAGCAAAACCTGCCTGTCTTGGACGCAGTTCCTGCGATTTCTATAACGTCGAAAACGTTGACTCAGTTCCGCGTGGTTTCGCTACTGTAGTTCCGTGCCACGTTAGGCGCGTGAGT